GCGCTTGAACCCGAATAATTGTTGACATCTCAGTTATTCTCATGTATTCAAGATTATATCTACACAATTCCCGCTTATAGTTACATTCGCTGGAGGGAAGGCTAACATGATAGTATCCAGCACGGAAAGTCAATGTGCTATGCAAACAGTTGAAGGCTGCGGTTTCTTTTTGGTCCGATTCATGATCTGAACAACATTTATACCTAAATATTAATAATGCGGTAATACAGTAATGATGCAGCAGATCAGTTGAGACGAAAAGATGGAGAGCCATCGTAGAAGTCGCAACACTGTTATCAAGATAGAGATATCAAAGCTGAATGGAAACATTCCATTCGACCGAATGTGCAGACACTTTGTGATAAAGTATTCATCCGCTGTAAGCACTATCTTACGTATGGATTATAATGAGTTGTAATATTTATAAGGATAAATAGGCTGTCATTACAAGACGGTTTCTATGCTTAGGATGAAGATTCCAGCTCCTTCCGGGACTGACCTTCAGGATCTAACATTCTTGTTATTGTGAGCGATAATTTGGCGTCAAACCGAGACTGCTTTACATTTAGGGCAAATCTATCTTGTTCGCGTCGCAGCAAATTTTGAAATAGTAAGGTCCGATGCGCAGTTTATTCAAATTAACCCAATTGGGTAATATGTTACGCGTCTGCTCTCTTGGTTTATTTTTGTGTGACACGCCACTATGGTTAGAAAGCGTCAATATTTATCAGTGACCTTGGAATATAGATAGCTTTCTACATCTGGCACTCAAATAATTGCACCGCATTTTCGAATACTCCTTCACTCTCAGTGCATTATCTTCATATCTCTTCATCATTTGACAAACATTTCTAGCAATCGTTGATATGAACCATTTCTAACACTGCAAATCAAAACCGAGCTACAAACACCCACTCAACGAACGCGCGTCACTTATTTCCATTAACATTCATGAACCAAGAAAATTTATCACAATCTACCAGTTGGATACCACGACCGTATACATGTGAAGAAGAGAAGCATATTCAGAACAAGTTAAATGAAAAGCTCGACCCTGAACTTGTTGCTTATCGCCCCGGACCCGGTAATTCAATGTAATCAGAATACAAAAAAAACACGAACATTTAATAATTTGAATCTGCTACAGGACACACAAGAGTTGCGTATATTGAAGGACGTCAAGTCATCAGTTTGGCTAATGAGATATTTGGATTCAATGGATGGTCTTCTAATGTCAAGGAAATTACTATAGATTTTGTAAGATATATATTGTGATGCTTTTTTTATTTTGTTAAAAATAAACAAATCAACACAAAATAAATACTAATTCGATAACTTCGTTTATGGCGTTCTCTAGGTCAATGAAATACAAGGAGGCAGAATACAAGTAGGCGTTTCCGTTATTTTGAGAGTCACCCTTAAAGATGGGACGTATCGAGAGGTGTGTTTGATTGTTATGTTACGCAATTTGGCAGAATGCGTTCGGCGTCTGATTAATCTGAATATTTGATACAAGGATGTTGGATATGGGTCTGGTGAGTTTCCGAAGAAAGCAGATGCATTCCAAAAGGTAATTAGACAAGGTTTCGTTATCAATTGTAGTGCAAAGTTTTGGTTAGACTCTTAACGTGCCATAACTTTAAAGGCTAAGAAGGAAGCTATGACTGACGCGTTAAAGCGCACCCTGAGATCATTTGGTGAACTGTTAGGAAATTGTATTTACGACAAGCGG